CTTTAGACATGGATGGGAGGGGAGGTTATGAAGCTTCTTGCTCACTGTGCCAGAAGTTATTTGGGCAATAAATGTAACATTTTAAATCCAACAATCTATTCTTTTTAGCAGTTTCCCTTAAAAGTTGTGATGAAATAACTTGTCTTTTTTTTTTTTTCAACCTGCTTAAAGTTTAAAGAGTTTCAGAAGGGAATCAATGAAGTATTAATGGGTTCTCCCAAGAAGACTATGCTATGGCACTGAGCATGGGAACTGCATCCTGCAGGGGACGGCAAGACAACTGGGCTAAAGATAGATGACAAAAGTGTCCCTGCTCCTCATATCATTGCTTTCTAAGGCATTTTTCTCTGGCATTTTTATTGCAGAAGTTGAACATACTCAAACTAGAATATAAATCATTAGTGATTATGCTGACGGATTGGGAGGAATCTCCTTTTATAAAGATTGAGTAAAATATCCTGAGGCAACAAATTGTTCTTAGGAAGACCTCATGGCTATTAGAGTAGAAGACAGGAAGATAGTTCCAAATATAATTTATCAATCAGTACATGACGCTGCCTTCTGCCATATTAGTTATTTCTAAGAAGGTTTTAAATAGCAAAAACAGAAATTCAAGAATTTGTGTGTGGTGGTGCATGCCTAGCAGCTTGGGAGGCTGAAGTKCGAGGATAGTGAGTTCAAAGCCACTCTCAGTATCTTAGGGAGCCCTAAGCAACTCAGAGAGACCCTGTCTCTAAATGAAAACTTAAAAAGGAATGGAGATATAGCTTAGTGACTAGGTACTCCTGGGTTCAATCCCTGCCCCCCCCCAAAAAAAAAAGAATTTGTGAATTCAAGAATCATTATATGACATGTTAATCGAGACTTTGTGTACTTGAGTTCACCTTATAATACAGTAATATTTTTAATTCCATGCACTTAGCAAGCATTGACCTTGTTTCGGAGGAGATGTGGTGACATTAGGAGCACAAGGTGCTGGAGGAGTACCATGAGGGCATTTCCTTTAGAGCTTTAGTTTTCTCATTTGTTTAAAAGCAGAACTGCAGGATTATAGATGGAAAGGTTAAGAAATGTATGTAAAAGTCTTTGCTCTAAGCCTTTTGTCAGTATTGGTCTCCCTTCTTTCCTTTTTAGCACTTGAGATTCCACAGATATTTACCAAGTTTTAACAGTAAAGCTGATTTTTACTCTGTCTCTGAGTGTAGCCTTCTCTTTGTGGTCCTATTTGTTCTCATTATGTCCTCTGATTTTTCACAGAAGACCAAGTATAGCTTGTTGTGTCGTTGTTTATACCCCAAGCAAGAGAAGTGGCTTTCTTAAACATTTCGATGGTAAATTTAGGTTCTTGCCTGCTTAGCTAGAGGAAGAAATCCCCAAGCAAGACTCAGGTTTTCTGGATGGCCCTTTCCAAAGAGAACACTTGGACATTTCATTTAATTCAGCAAGGTGCTGATTCCTTAATGCTTCCTACCCCTACCCTTACGTAATATGCTATTAGTCATGTTAAAACATTATTTGTCAAGTGTCTAGTTTTCTAATAGTGAAGTCTTTAATGCCCCTTATCACTAATTGCTTTTATGATGATAAGTTGATCATTTCATGGTTTCATATATTGTCTTATTTGTTTTTCTTGTGAATTTATGTAATGGCTCGTTGTTTTGTCACCTTAATTTTTCCCCTTGGTATAGCAACAGGAGTTTTATGTATCATATCTACTTCTGTGTCTAGTGAATACTCATTTCAGTTTCCTTTTTAAATATTACAGGTAATGAATTCTTGTTTTGGAGTGGCAAGTTTTATGGTTTACCATTTTTTCAGTCTCTTCTCCCTATAATGGTAGAATCAGTTTTAATACCTCATTGTCATTAGATACCTCTGTGCTTTCAGTTTACTTGCTGTGCATCACCTTTGTCTGTGATCTGTTTGTATGTTTGCGATACTCAGCACACCGTGAGTTCCTCGAGTCCAGGAACCACATCTTATTTCTATTTATCTTTGCATTCCCTTTGCATGAAAGCATGTGATACTTTGGTTGGTACTTTATAAACCCCCAGTGAGTATATTCTATGGAGATTTATTCTGACTTACTTTCTGCATTGCTCAAAGAACTAAAAATTTGTTGGGGCTCTATTTTTCATGTTTGGGGCTTGTGTACACTTATAACTGGAGTGTTTATTTGCATCCTTTCCTAATACTGATTTTCCTAATCTCCTTTAACATGATATCCGRTTTGAATAGCTCTGGATTAGCATAAGGATTATATATTTTCACTAATTAGCAAAGGTATTAAAACAAGAGTCCTTTGATACTGCTTGATCTACCCACTTCCCTTAGCTTCTAGAAAATTCCATTCTTGGGTTTCCTTTCTGTTATTTATTTATTTTTTATCTGCCACCATCCAGATGTCTCTAAATTCAGTTCAATAATCCTATTGCTGGCACAGGAGTGCTGACTGTGTACATAGTTTATGAAGGTGGTAAATTTGTGCTAGATGTGTGCGAAGCTGCATTGGGAGCACAGAGAAGCACCTTGTCGCAACCTGTAGGCGTGGGGCTGAGGGCCTGAAGAGAGGGTTAGGGAGGGCTCCAGAAAGGAGGGATTCCTAAGGAGAGAGTGAAGTGTACATGGAAATTAGAATGTCAGAGAGAGAGGGGGCTTTAAAAGCAAGAACAAAAGTACAGAGTTGAGAAACAGCAAGCTGTATATGTATGTTGGGGTGTGGGGGGAGTGGAGGAAGGTTGCTGGAAGCCAGGGAATCTAGAGTTATAATGACTGAGCACCAATGTGGAGTCAGTGCTCAGCTCAGTAGCCTTGGAAACTGGGCTATTAGATATCCATGTTCTGTCCTAGCAGTTGGAGGAAGTAGCTTCTATATAAACATATTGTCTGCATGTATTGATTTCTGGCCACAGTTCCTATAGTGGGGTGGTTCAGGGCATAAACTTTGTGGTAAAGTCTGAGCCCTGGCTCTTCCACTTAATTGCTGTGTGATCTTCAGAAACTGTACTCAGTCTCCTTATCACTAGTATGGAGATAATAATAGCACCTACTTCATTAAAATTGTCACTGAGGTAATAGTCACCTTTATTCCTTTTTAAACTAAATACGTATTTTTTTTCTTATAATATTATAAACTCTAAGCTTCAGGATGTGGGGTGGACTAAAAGTGAGGGATGAGGCTGGTGTTAACTTAAATCTTTCCATCCACTCTTCAGAAAGAATTGAGAGCAAGAGAAGTCCAGAGAAATGTTTGCTTCCGGAGTCCTTCAGTCAGTATTTTAATATAGACTAACTGAACAGATTTCTACTTTCTAATACTTACACTCTGAAATATAATACCAGGCTATCACTGCCTGGTATGCAAATTGTCACACACAAAGGTTTTGTGAAGAATTAATCTTACTATTATTTCAAGGTATTTTTCCCTCTTAAAAATATTACTTGGGCTGGGAATGTGGCTCAAGCGGTAACACGCTTGCCTGGCATGCGCGGGGTGCTGGTTTAAATCCTCAGCAACACATAAAATAAAATAAAGATGTTGTGTCCACCGAAAATTGAAAAACAAATATTAAAAAATTCTCTCTCTTGGGCTGGGGATGTGGCTCAAGTGGTAGCACGCTTGCCTGGCATGCGTGGGGTGCTGGGTTCGATCCTCAGCACCACATAAAATAAAATAAAGATGTTGTGTCCACCAAAAATTGAAAAATAAATATTAAAAAATATTCTCTCTTCCCTCTCTCTCTCTCCTCTCTCTCTCTAAAAAAAATTCTCTCTCTCCCTCTTCTCTCTCTTTAAAAAAAAAAATATATATATATATTTGTTTTGTTTTCATTGACTCTAGTTAGTTAGAACATTCCAGAAATGCTAGGTCCCAGGGCCAAGGATTTGGTAATCTTTTTCATTTGAGTATTTCAGAATCCTTATACTATCTTTTGTCTTTAAAACTTCTTTGAAACTGGCTTGTTAGTACCCAGTATATAGACTTATCAACATATTGTCTGCATGTGTTGAGTTCTGGCCACAGTTCCTATAGTGGGGTGGCTCACGCCATAAACTTTGTAGTCAAGTTTATGTGGGCAGAAGTAAGAACATTGGTTTTTCATTTTTGTTTTAGGAGATTGATTTTTTTAAAAATACCATGTCAATTAGAATAATTTGGCAAGTACATAGTTTTACAATAATCTCTTTTTCATAAACAGAATACTGGGAAGTCTAACATCATACATTACATCAAAATATAGACATTTACATCAAAATATAGACATCATACATTACATCAAAATATAGACATTTGATAAGATTCAATTTCACAGAGAAAGCCATTAATCATTTAAGTTATTTTTCACCCAAATGTTGCCTTTGAATCCTTTATGTCTCTGTTTTCTATTTCTTCCCCCATTAGGATAGGGCTGCTCTGTAATTAGTGAAGGTACATGTCTGTCTTTAGGCAATAGCCTAATCTCTATGGCCATATGTGCAAGAGCAGTATAATTACAGTAGAGTATTAATTGGACCATGTGACTGTTTTTGTTTTAATTATTTAAAGTCATCTTATCTTTCTCTTCCTTAAAGCATGTTAATGGGTCAATCCATGAGTGCCATGTTTATGTCATTTCTATGGAATTAAATATGTACACATTTACATAAACAGTACTCTTTTATATGTTATAATATTATGGATGTCTCTCTTAGACATCATTTTAGACCTGGAGAAATAAAATATTGTAAAGAATTGATTTTTTTTACATTTTGCTCAATTTATAGAGCATAGATGAGAATGCAGATCTCTCCGATATAATAGGTTGTTAGCAATTTCCAGATTTATTTCTTAATGGATTAGGGATTTACATGCTAATCCTGGTACATTCTATTTAATAATTTGGTAGAAAATTTAGTGATGGGTATCCATTTTCACTAAATTCGAGTATTTGTCAGACTATATATAGAAACTGGCATTTGTCTGAATTCAGGTTTTAACTTTTGTCTCCCTATTTTTTCAGTTGTTTTTATTTCAGTTGCTGCGAGGGCTGTCTTACATCCACCAGCGTTATATTTTGCACAGAGACCTGAAACCACAGAATCTTCTGATCAGTGACACGGGGGAGTTGAAGCTGGCAGATTTCGGTAGGAAAGCAGTTAATTACCAGTCTATTTTGTCACACGGTGAAAGTGCCAGGAAGATGGTGGCACTGCATTTGTTAGGTGCACCATTTCTGTCATCATAGAGCATGGTAAATTTTTTTCTGGAAAGAAGATTTTTTTTTCTTTTTTAATATAACATAAAACATAATGGTGGATGGATTTTTTTAAAAAATCTAGGCTGCTTATTGAGACTTACTTAAATAAATATAAGCATGAATCAGATCTCAATATATGTTTCCAAAGGAAATAGCAGTAAAATGTTGAGCATAAAATATACTCAAGAACATCTTTTTTTTTACTGTTTATTATGATAATATCAAGTATACTCAAAAATAGAAGGATATGATAGTTCATCACCGAACTTCATCAATTACAAATATTTTTTTTCAAAATTTAAGAAATTTAAAGTCAAATGAGCCATTTCAGGGAATTGTAGGATATATAGTAATCAATAATGTATGCTACCTAAGGATTTATAACTTAGAAATCTAGGGACAGCTTGACCTTTCAAAAAATGACTTTTATATCAAATATTTTTTACATTATAATTGTAGGCACATTTCTATTTAAAAGTTGGGATTCTAATGGGCCCATTATAAGTCAGTCCTTCCTAAGAAGTTTTAAGATTGGCCTCTTCCAGCTTAGACACTTTCCTCCACACATGGCTTTGAGCATCTGAAGGGGTTCAGAACTCTTGTGTCCTTTTTTTGGCCAAGGCTTACATTGCTGCATTGCTCAGACTCTGTTTCCCACCAGACATTCTGTTCAGTTGACTCCCAGCACTGGGGGATGTTGCTTGATGACAGCATCACGTGTTGACATTGCATTACCTCAATTATGTTTGAATACATATTCTGATTAGAAAATCGTTCCATTAAGAATGGAATAAAAATATTACCCTTGGGACATAGAKGCCTGAGGATGTGATATGGGCTTTTGATGATATATGATTATCTTTTCCCAGTCCAAACCCCAATAAATAAAAGAAGGCAGGAAATGATTATTTTTGTATTTCAAGGTTAGCAGATGGTTGAATGACTTTGGAATGAATGTATTCTGTTGGGCTTTTTGTATTTTTTTTCTTCCAAAAGTGAAATAAAGGGAAAGTTACCATTACTAGTGATATATTATAAAAATTTTGTATTTACCCACTTTGATAAAAAATGATGAAACTGTGTTTGTATATTTGTGTGTGTGTGTGTGTGTTGTTGTTGTTGTTGTTTCTAGATTTAGCATCAAGATTATTCTAAGTGGCTAGATATAAAGTCTACTATACTGTAGAAAATAATGGCAGGGTAGATGCATTGGGGTGAGAAGGTTTACTTTTCCTCAAATTCAGAGGTATTAATTTTCCTGTGAATATATTTTGTGGTTTGTCAGTGTGAGTAAATTACAAGGAACTTACAGTGATTTCTTTATGGCATGCCAATATACTATAAGGTCTTTATTGTAATAAATTATTATATTGACATTTAATTGTATTGAACATGTTTTTGTGTAATTTTAAAATATATTTTCATAGAATTGGTTTGTCTGTATAGCCAAGGATACAATAGGATTGTATGGATGTGCTTATTGGAAATTATTTTTAAATTTTAAAATGATGATATTATAATAGCCAGGTAAGTTTGTCTTAAAAGATTCTAATGAATCTTTAAAATTGGATAACATCATGCTCAGTGAAATAAGCCACATTTAGAAAGTTAAGGGACAAATGTTTTCCCTCATATACAGAAGCTAGAGAGAAAAAAAAGAATAAAATGAGGGATCTGATGAAAACAGAAGGAAGATCAGTATAAGAAAGGTAGGAGATCAAGAAGGAGGGAGGAAGAGAGGAGAAGGGGAAGAACTGGAGAATAAAATGAATATACCACACTGAATTCCACTTTTATGTATAGTTGTAATGCAGCAATGAAAAACAATATATGTGTAAATTAGGAGAATAAAGACCAGAATTGTAGAGGAAAGGAAATGGGGGTGTGAGGGGAGTGAGGGGAAAATACTGAGGAGTATATTGAAGCAAATTATTTTATGTATATATATGAATGTCAGTGAACCYCACTGTAATGTATAATTATTATATACTAATAAAAACATGAAAACTGATGTTTTATAATACTGGATTGAGAAACAACTTAGAATCTAATTTTTAAACAATTTTTTTAGAAAATTTGGAAAGTATGAACAACTCAGAAATGACAATATTAACAATTTTGTTTATGAATTTTCCAGTGCCTTTCTCCTCCCCCTTCTACTCCTCCTCTCATTTCCAGCCTCATGTGTTTATTACCTATCCTTAAAAAAATGAAATACTGTTTTTCAAGCATTTTTCATGTAAGAATATGCCATGAATATTTTCTTATATTATTAAGAATGGCAGAATTGTCATGCTTATTGCCCACAACCTAGTCAATCTTCAATCCCTTATCAATGAGAATTCTCGTTTCTTCTAATTGGCACAATCCTTTACTGAGCATCTTTGTAGTGAAAGCTGTATGTGCTACAAGCATTTGGTTCTTCCGCCCAGACTGCTCTGCAGAGGGTTGAGCCCAGGCCCCTCCCCTTGGTGTCTTGGGCTGATTCTTCTAGCTTGGAATGCTCACTTGGCGTACATCCTGTGCAGAGAGTGTAATGAGCAAGACTCATTCGCCAACTGACAATTTCCCCCAATTAATTGTGCATTATTTTTGTCTTTTAATTTAAGACATGCAATTAACTGTGATTTACTGTGTTTGGGCACGTGTGTGTCTGAGATGAAGGAAACACACTGAAAACTATAGAGAAGCAAAACAGTCAAAATAGGATGGTTCCAGGCAGCAGAACAATTAGAAACACAAGGTCTTAATTTAGAATTTGACATATAAAAAGCTTTAGAAACCATTTCTTTGTCTTACCTTTCTCTCTTATGTGAGCAGCACCATGAAATTTTGATTAAGAGACAAATGTATTTTTCATATTGTAGTTACTACTTTCTTATTAAAAAAATACATTGGGGGAGTAAAAACACTGAAATTTACTATGTTTGTTCTTTGCATTAGATACTTAGAAATTCTTGGTTCATTTCCTCCTCACCCATAGTATACCAAAGCATACTTACCTATATTTTTGAGAAAAGACATGAGATTCAAGGAGGATTAGAAACTTGGTAACACAGACAGCTAGTTGCAAAGTTGGGATTTCATATGCTTGATGCATGTCCTTCAATCTCAAGTGACCCATGGTTTTTATTTTTAAATGTATGGACTTTTAACCTAATATGGATACCTAATTCACTAATAAATTATTTATCTATTTATCTATACACACACACACACACACACACACACACATATATGCTGTTTTTACATATAACAAATATGAAGCCCATATTATATAAATAGATTTCACTAATGCAAAATAAATGCATATAATTGAAAGAACATTTTGTCATTTGATTAGGTTCAACTTTAATATGTAGCAGATTTTAGAAAATAAACCAGACAGTTGTATATTTATAGACCCATTTGGCTTTCAACAGAATGCAGTAATGAGTTCCAGGTGGTCAAAATGCCTTAAGTATTGTTTTTTTTTTCTTATTATTAGCAAAGACACACTTTAGCACTTACCTGAACAACTTTATTTCCCATATGAATTTGGAATAAGTATATTACACTTGATTTTGAATTGCTGTGCTTTCCTATTACAGAGGTTTGTTCTACCTACATATRATAAAATCAAGAGTGGGTATTCAGTCTCATTTCCTACTTGATGATTTGTCTTCCTCATCTTAGGCAAAATAATTCAAATCCTTTATCAGCATGTATCTCTGTCCCCTTGCTGCTTCTTGTGCACTGTGGTGCTGCAAAATCCCACATTTGTTCCCACATTGTTACCTTGTGCATGGCCTTTCCCTTTGCCTGGAACACTCGTCCGGATTCTCATGTGGTTGTCGTTTTCTCATTATAGAGGTCATAGTCTATGTCACATTGCTACAAATAGAAACTCCCCTTACTACCCTCCAACTTAGCTTCTTCAATAGCACTCTGGTACACTGAAATTATTTGATTCACTTGTAAAAATATCTTTTGCTTCAATTACTTGATTGTAAATTCTGTGAGTGCAGAATTTGACCTGTGTTTTCTCTGTTGTTCCTAGAAGCACAGAGTAGATTGTTTAGCATCCAGTAGYTKCTCAGTAAATGTTGGTTGAATGAGTAAAATACAAGCATGACTAAATGAGTGTGAAGACTAAATCTCATCTGAATTGACTACTTTCTGTTCAATTAGCATTGACAAACTCACAGTTCATAGTTTTCTCCTTAACAATGATGTGCTGGCTGTGTATAGTTAAGAGTGCAGATGGAATTGATGACTGTAGGTAGTTCTAACCCTCAGGATTCCTTTGAGTCTGAAATAAACACCACTGAGAGATTGTAAACATACACAAAAGATGCGTAAGTATTGAAATTTCTACTCTGAAGACCCCCAGTGGTTGTCTAGTTGAACTGTTACTGAGAGCAGCATGTTAAACCTTGAATTAGGAGATCTGGCTCTGGCTCTAAGTAGCTTGCAACTTTTAAAAAGTTGTTATCATTCTGAGCTTTATACTACTTGTCTGAAACGAGGAATAAAAGAGCATTGTACAGCTATTTCCTAAGTCCTTTTAGTGCTGGCTTTTCATGTTAAACATTTCTGATATTATTAATCTATATTCTAAAGGCCATAATATTTGCTATTGGGTAAAAAAAATATATCCATTGAATCTGGAATTAATGCAATCTTATCCCTCCCTAGAATCTAATTTTTCATTCAGTCTTGGAAGTTCAAATAAATGTGAGTCCTGCTTTTACAGTATACATTGAGAGCACATTAAAAGAAAATCAATGAAGCGTAACCTGTAAATGCAAAAATTCACCAAGAACTTGTAGTTTATTTGTCGTATAATATAAAAACTTGAAGCTAATTTTCCATATTAAGGAGATTAAAACAATGATGCTAATGTAG